TGTACCCAGTTAAGAAAACGGTCTAAAGCTGTTATTGTTGTTGGGCTAGTTAGTTATTCGTCATATTGTAAGAAATTTAGCGCGACCTTGGCTCCCGCAAACACTCACGCCCGAGTAACACACACGACACACAGCGCGAAGTAGGGAAGAGTAAAGGACCACTACTCACAAGGGTCGTCACGCTACGGCGGCTCGCGCATGCGCAACTGGCGCCGGCGAGAGGAAGGCGAGCAGCACGAGCTTTTTTCGGACGCCTTGGGCGATAAACGAGCTGGAAAAGCGAGAGATTTGTGCGGAACATTGATGAGATGTCAGCAAATGCCACGAGCACAAGGGTGAGTCTGAGCGATATGACGTCACACTGCTGCTGCCTAACGACCAAGGCAATAAACTTTTGTTCATTCCTGCCGCATACCTACTACTCCAGTGGCGACGAGGTGATGAACCCCCACAGCCAGGGAACAGCATGGCAACGCATGCCAGGCCACCTACTTTTGACGACGGGGATGACAATTGATTGATTGATTGATATGTGGGGTTTAACGTCCCTAAACCACTATATGATTATGACAGACGCCGTAGTGGAGGGCTCCGGAAATTTCGACCACCTGGGGTTCTTTAACGTGCACCCAAATCTGAGCACACGGGCCTACAACATTTCCGCCTCCAGCGGAAATGCAGCTGCCGCACCCTGGATTCGATCCCGCGACCTGCGGGTCAGAAGCCGAGTACCTTAGCCACTAGACCACCACGGCGGGACACAAAACACTTTTTGCAATTGACGCAAGATGTTATATTTGTAAATAAAGCTTGGGTACGATGCTAGATTTCCAATTCCGAAAACGCAAACATGAACACACATAGAAGGTTAGTCGAAAAATGAGCACGTTTGGGCAGCATTTTGTCTTCCTTCTCTGTTGCACCCAAACGCTTCGGAGAAGGCCGTAATGTGCATAACGGCTTTGTTGCAATCTCCGACTAAGGATCCAAACAGTGTTTCCGGCAGGCGACATAGGGTGAAGCAGACAGTTTTGAGAAAAACCTGCAATGAAAAAAATCAAAACAGTGGGCAGCCTGAGCCGCAGTCTTGAACACCTATATTATCTGATAAGCCAAGGTACCAATTCTGCGTTGAAAATAATGGCTATCGGCTAAATCTAACAGATCTATGATAGTTAAAAGGCAGTTCATAAGTAAACTACACTAAGTTAGCGTTACGTGCTGCCCAGCGCTCTTTCCGCCACTTAAAGGGCATCCGCAAGATGACTACTTACGTGTCATGCGCAGTGGCGACTAGCTTTGCGTTCACTATTCTAAAGTTCCCTAAAGGCCCGCTCCCGCTAGTGGCATAAAGGCTCACCGTAAGCCATTTGCGATTCTCAGGCTGCCATGCGCAAGTGAAACCGCACACGCAAGGCTGCCGTTTCTTTGTCAGTTCGGTCAACAGGTCAGACTTATTTTCGGAACGTTCTCCGGCAGCAGCACAGCGACATGGCCAATAAAAAACGGAGGAGAGGTTGCCGTGTAGCTATACATCAGCGCATCGCGTCGTCCGCTTTACGCGTCGTCTAGCCACGCCAAATTGTTTGGTTATTAAAGACGATAGTCTTTCTGGGGGACCTTCAACGCAAAAATGTTTGTCTGTCTGTCTGTACATTTGTCTGTTTGGCCACTCTTAACGGTACCCTAAACGGCACCAGAAGATACCTCAAACAGCCAACCGCATCCGCAGCGCCCACCAATATTGTTCAAGGTTCAGCGTTCATACTTGTGTGATTGTCAATCAAAAAGGAATTATTGCACATTTCTGAGGCACCATAACAACACCTCAACATTCTATATGTGTGCCTCTTACTTGAAAAGGCATACATTAGTAATTCTAAGCACCGTAGCGTTTATCACGTTGTGCTGACCATGCAACGCTTGTACTAAAGGGCAAGTGTTTCCAACGCTTTGCTAAGACGACATGGTCGTGGCACCGACCCGTCGCGTTGCGTGATGTGCCTTATCACCTCCGGGACGGGCACGCAGGGCGTACGTGCTTCGTTTTCCAAGATGACTGCCAGATAGCGCTCATGTCTCACGTCTAACGTGAGACAAGAGCCATGTCCGCAAGTGCTCCGTGAATTTTCCGGCTCCATTGTGAAAATTTATGTGTGTGGCCAATTTGGATTATTGTCATGGCTTCCTGAAGTTGTTCCGCCTCGACTGACACCACCAACAACTGTAAGTGACCAGCACTTTTTATTTTAGAAGCCCAAACGCACCAGCCTATCGTGCGAGCTCGACAACGCCATCGCCGCCATGCAGGCGGCTGCAGGAACGCTACCATGCACGTTGCGCGCGTACACGATGGCTCTCGCGAATGAACCCTCAGACACTATTGCACGTCCCGGACCCCCGCTGATGGCGAACACGCGACGCCAAGAGCTTGATAATATGAATTTTCAAGACTCTACTGCTAAGAGCCTCTCAACGCCAAATGAAACCAACGATCAGAATGCCGAGACCGACCACCAAAGCCAAGCGGATGGAGCCTGGCAAACGGTGCTCACTGCGGCAGAAGAAGGCTCTTGCTAAAGAAAAGAAGGCCAAGTCCATGGATTTTTCGAGGACTTCGTACCACCAAAAATTATCCACTGCTGAAGCAACCGGAAAATCTATATACAGGCCGGCCCACAGGTGGCTACCCCCCTTGTCCAAAGACGACTTCAAGATAGTGGTGCGACCACACCAAAGGCTACCGGTCAAGACCCTGACTAGTCCACTACTGGCAGACGCCGTGATAGAAGCTTGCAGCGTACAAATATCTGGTGAGCATTTTTTGCTCAGAATAAAGCAAGGTTCCAAGATCTTCATTGTTTCGACACCGCACCAGACAGTGGTGGACCACGTAAGGCGTATTACCACCCTAAAGATCAACGGCCGGCCACACTCAATGCCTACGTAGCGACAAGTGAAGGGACAACTAAGGGTGTCATTCACGGCTTAGACCCCCACACAACGCCTGAAGCACTAAAAGCCAATCTCCGCATACGCACCCAAGGTGTCAAAATTCTGCAAGCACGGATGTTTCAAAACACCGAGATGGCCGTTATAACATTTTTTGGGGGGATTACACCTCGTTACGTCTATTACAACGGTGGAGAACTTGCTTGCTACCCCTACAAGTGCACCACCAAGGTGTGCAAAATGTGCCATCAGGTTGGTCACCGTTCGGACGTTTGCCCCCAGCCGGACACTCAAGTGTGTCCCGTTTGTGGACAACGGGACCCTGCAACCGACATAAGTGTTCTCCGAAGTGCGCCGCTTGTGGCGAGGCTAATTTGACAGGCGACCGAAGTTGCAGATAATGACAAAAGTCTCCACAAAAAAGAACCTCAAGGACTAGTGCGCACCAGCCTACTCTGAATGACAATTCACTTAAGCCACCTCAACGCCCCCGCTGGTTCAGTTCTGATGATGAACAATCTGCCCTGGACCACTGTCCGAAGTCGCCAGAGACTCGCCCAAGGTTCCCCTCTAGATAAATCTCTAGATCGAGATCCCGGACCCGGAAGGACTCTATACTCATGAGACCCCACCCCTTTTTCACTCACACAAGTCACCTAAATCCGGGGCTCCAGGCTCAGCGATCAAGCAAGCACCCGAAAATGGTGAGGTGAGCTATGCACGAGTTGCTTCTCCCACTGCTGCTATAACAGCCAATCCAGAATATCAAAAAATTATTAGCGAGAACAAACTCCTTCGTGAAAGCTTGGCAGAAATAAAACGAGAGTTGGCCTCCCGCAAAGCTAACCGCGGTATAGAATCTAGCCAAAAAACACTTTCTAAAGCAACCGGCACATCTGGCCAGGTTACGATCGAGTCTAATTCTACGGCAGGTACATTAAAACAAGCAATGCAGCAACTGCAAAGCGTGCAAAGCTTTCAGCAGCAAATGTTTGCCGAATTTTAGAACCTAAAAAGTTATGTTGATGAATCTATTGCCAGCATAAGGGCTGCTGTTCTTAAACGGCCTAAAAGCAGCCAAGGTGCCCCGTCTATCCGTCGTCCGAAGCAACTCCCAACCTCGGACAGCGATAGCACTATCCATGGCTAGTAAAACACGAGCGCACACCAAATGTCTCGAAATTTGGCAATAGAATTGCCGCACCTTCCACAAACGTGCGGCCGCTCAACAACAATTTCTTAATAAGGCGCCAGTCAAACCTGATGTCATTTGTCTACAAGAGGTTGGCAATAAGCCAGTCAAATTGAGTGGCTACTACACGATATCAAATCCAGACTACCCTAAAGTCGCCACGTTGGTTGTTAAGGAAATAGCGACTATTATAGATTATCTGGTAACTAGCAGCATTAACCACCAAATCATAAGTATACTACCGCACAAGCGTAGCAAAGCCAAAACCATAATTACGAACGTGTATAGCTCCCCTAAGGAAAAGAGGGCCAATTTTGACGCATTCGTTCGGTATGCCAAGAGTAATTTCAGCATCCAGGATCGACTACTGCTTCTCGGGGACTTTAATGCCCCTCACACTACCTGGGGATACCGAAAAGATATCCCGAAAGGCCGGGCGCTCGAGCGAGTTGTTGATGCGCATGGGCTCCAACTTCTCGTACTCCCGCAACACCCGACAAGATTGTGTAACAGCTTCAGCACAGACACATTTCCTGATCTTTCATTCATAAATAATGTTGACGAGGTGTTCTGGAGCAACCTAGGAGAGAATCTCGGCAGTGACCATTCTATTTTGAGCGTGTCGATTGCCTCCCGCGAAATTCGACAGTCTCATGGTCATGTTGTAGTAACAGATTGGGTAACTTATTCCCCGAAATTTTACCAGATAGCACTGAAGATAGGGCAACGCACATAAGAGAGGCTCACAAAGCAACTTCTAAGCGGGTTGCGATCACAGTGGAAACCCCGGTAGCCGATAACCATTGATACATATGTGGAAATCTAGGAGAGGGTTGACCAAGTGATGGAAACAACAGCGGCTCAATAGAAAATTGCGCCATAGAATTGCTGAGATATCTGAGCGGGCAAACGCTTACGCGCAGCAGTTAGAGACGGCAAGCTGGGCGAATTTTTGCGACTCACTTCGAGGAACCTTACACACCTCAAAGACATGGGCAATACTGCGCAGCATAATGGAACCTGGTAAAACCAAAACGGCAGCAAACCGAACTCTTAAGGAGCTCGCTGAGGAATTCACAGGAACAGATGATGCCCTCCTCGCTAAGCTCCGAGATAAGTACATAGGCGCGTTCACAACTCCCCCGTGCTCTTAGCATACCAAAGCCAGGAAAACGCAGTGCTCGATGCACCAATCACCAAGGCAGCAGTATTCGCGGCCGCGCAAGCAGCAGAGTGCAATACTGCCCCCGGACCTGACCAGCTAACAAACGCGATGATTCGGAATCTGAGCGATGAGCACCTGGAACAACTTACTCGGTATTTTAATGAACCGGTATGGGAGAAAGGCGTGGTTCCTCAACATTGGAAGGAAGCCAAAATTATTCTTATTCCAAAGCCAGGAAAAACGTCCGACTTACAAAATCTAAGACCAATATCATTAACATCCTATCTTAGCAAATTATTCGAAAAGGTGATTCACACACGTCTCACGACTTACATTGAAGATCGGAACCTTTTTCAACCTAGCATGTTTGGATAACGCCAACATTTGTCAACGCAAGACGTCTTCCTTTCTACTTCGGGAAGAGGTACTCTGCAATACCACGGTTGGTGCAGAACATCTCGTCGTAGCTCTTGATTTGAAAAGCGCATTTGACACTATGTCCCATGAGCTCATCTTATCTGAGCTAAATGACATCGGTTGTGGGCAAAACAAATATGACTACGTTCGCTCTTTTCTAACCTCTCGCACTGCTACAATAGGCCTAGGCAATACACACTCAGATCCGTTTCCTATGCCCAATAGAGGCACACCACAAGGGGCGATACTATCTCCTCTTCTCTTCAACATCGGCATGAGACACTTAGCAAGAAGGCTAGACGGCGTTTCAGGGCTAGGGTACGCGTTCTATGCGGTTGATGGTACCCTATAGGCCAACAGTGGCTTTTTGGGACAAAAAGAGCAAATCCTACACGACGCAGTGACCACTGTTGACGACTTCGCTTATCAGAGCGGAATGAGCAGTGCTCCCGATAAATGTAAATTTATTAGAATCCGAGGCAGAGGCCACCACATTCACGAGCCGGTCAACCTCTTTCTAGGAGACCACAAGATAAAAGAGGTACAGAAAATGCCAGTCCTCAGACTGTGGCTACAAAGCAAAAAGCGAGTGGACCACACAATAAAAACCCTCAGAACAAAGGTGAAGCTGATTTTCCCGTATGATTTATAGAGTCACCTATCACCGAAAAAGGTTTCAAGGAAGCTTAGACGCTCCGGCTGGTTCAGGCTTTTGTCCTCAGTCGGCTAACATCTAGTCTTCCTTTCCAGGAGATCAATAAAATCGATTTAAAGGCCCTAGATGCGTTGATACGAACATCGTACAAGGCGGCTCTCGGCCTACCACTTGGAATGTCCACGGACGTGGGCCACCGTGCTCCGCTGTCGACCCGTTTGCCACTCGCGTGAAGCCTCAAGCACCAGTCGGAGCGCAAACCCTACCCTCCTCCATGCCGTGTACTGGCCCTTTTCGGTCGGACGCGCATGTTGGGGAACAGGCGCATGCACCTGTTACAGCCGCGTCCGCCTCGGAGCAGTCACCGCTGCACGCAACTGCGGCGCAGCTCCTAAACATTCTGTTGGATGCGGTGCGCTCGCAGCCTTGTGCTTTAAAGGGAGACCCCGACTCCCCTCAGCCAAGCGTTCCGAGTAGCTTAAGGGTACCTCTGTCTGAGTACAGCGGTAATTCGGACCGCATCAGTGCCACAGAGTACCTCTATGCGCTGCACCGCTATCAACAGGCTGCGCGGCTGGGCGACAGCGTTATTCTAGGCTCTGTTTTGGCCCGTGGCACTGACAGCCCAAGCGGCAAGGTGGTATCAGCTCGTCGGCCACCAAGCTCGCTCGATGGAGGAGTTTAGAGCGCTCTTTCGTAGCGAATTCCTCCCTCCTGAATACGAGCGCCGCATGCGTGGCGAGTTAGAGCTTCGCACACAGCATCCCGACGAATCTCGTCTCGAGTACATTCGGGCTTTGCAGGAGCTACACCTCCTTGCCGATCCTATGGCATCAGACACTGAGAAGGGGGAGCGAGCCATACGCCAGGCTCATCCAACATTCGGAGCGCCCGTTATCGTGACCTAACGAGCTGGCATCCGATGCGAAGCGTATTCAGGCCGACATACTGGCGGCGCGAGCCTATCGCCTGCCGCCACCGCCGTCCGCGTCTCTAGAGCCTCGTTGTGCGTGGGCTGGTCGTGACTCGTCACACTGGGGTTCCCCGAACCACGAGGCGGCCTCTGCCGTGAGAGACCGAGACGCGCTCGATGTGTCGCACCGCGCTCTGGACCCGTACTCGTACGCCCAGACGGCCACCGTTGCCCGGCAGCGTGAACAAGAACGGAAACCCCCTGCTTCAGTGCACGAGGGTATATCCGATCGCGGAGCCCCCACTGCGGCTAGCGAACAGACACCTGTTGCGAAAGACGGCGACGCCAACACGGTCCCGAAGGCGCCACTGCTTCCAACTCCGCCGGGAAGGTCACCAGCCGTTTGGTAGTGTATGTTTATCAGCTCGCGACTGCTTCTGCGCAGAGCTGATAAGACGAGCGGACGAGACGACGGTGAGTTAAACAAGGTTTATGTACAGCATATATACAGAGGCATTACAGATTCGGCACTGGGGCCGACAGAGACTCGAAGAGCCGAGCTCTCCTCTCTAACACATAGGTCTGCTCTCAAACGGGTTCGCTCTGACACACATGTCAGCTTTCACCTAGGACCGCCGATCACGACGCGCCGCAGGGCTTCTTTTATTTGCACCGGGTCAAACCAAAATGTCCAATCAGAAGCGCCGCTGGTCGTCAGGGCAGACTCCTCCAATGGGGTCGCCGCGCAATGCGTCAGCCCCCAGACATGAAGACGCCAGTTGTTTACTCGACGGGTCGCTTGCCGAGGCTGACTCACTGCACGTGCACGCCAGAGAGGCGCCGACAAAAAGACGCCGTGGCGTGCTGACGCCGTTGAGTTGTTGATCGCGTCAGGCGGGCTGCGGGCTGGCCTTGACACAGATTGCCTTTTTGAGAGGCACGGCCGTTCGCTGTGGACTCGCAGGCATGACAGCACCCCCGCCGCCAGACAATGCGCCGAAAAGACGAGCTGCTTCCACGGGGCTCGGATGACAGGCGCGCTCGTTCGCCAGGTCCCTCCAGGTTCGCCTCCAGGGCCATGGCGAGAATGCAGCTCCAGACTCTGTTCCGGGAACACATCCCATTCTTGACGACAGATCCCAGCTCCACTGGCTTGTCGCCACAACTTGCTGGCCAACTTCGCTCGTCTCTTCTGACCATCTCCGGTTTCTGCACTTGTCGATGGTTCTGCAACTTGCTAAGAACGGTTCGACAACAGACAACACACGACACAAGCAAGTGCCCTCGGTCACCCAACAGAACACCAGACAAAGTATAGTACAACATATACCTATCTACGTGTCTATCGGAATTTTGTTCCCTCTACATCAAGAGGCACATGTGGGACACAAGACTCATAAAGTAAGAACTTGACTTTTTCACACTTACAACAACGCAACGAATTAGAATACCACATGAAGTTGGCCCCTTGAGATCACTCTGCACGAGAGCGCTCAGCCCAGGTCGTGATGAGGTCAAAATTTTGCCCCGAATCGCCAGCGAGAAACCGAAAGGTTGAGAAGGTACTAGCTAGAACGCACTGCTCAATGCACCTGCATTAGCGTTTAGCTTTCCCTTTTTTTTTTCTAGCGAACGTCAAAGTTGCGCTGTGGAGCAACATGCTCCATCTCAGTAACCGGCCACTTTTAGGCGACGATACCTATGCGGCACCAAGAGCGGCTCACACTTGCGACGTTGCACAGGGGAACAACGATACGGCTTGCTACGGATTGACTCCTCACCGCTTAGCTTGATATCGTGTTCGATCACCCTCGTGTTTCCGTGACAGTCCGAAAACACGTCTTCAAACACCAAAATAATCTTTCTCGGGTCCTCCTTTTGGACTTCACTTAACCTAGGCTCTAAGTTCATCTGCTCCCAGATTACCTCCGATTCCCTTTCGATTGCCTCACTAGAACTAAAAATTTCTGCTCCCTCTTCCTCTGAAGCATTCAACAGCTGATTTACGACTGCTTTCAAGTTGTAAATTTTGTCCGGCCGCCTTCCTAATTTCACTTCATGATTGGTATCGCAAGGCTTCAATAATACTTTGGCGGGCCCTTCCCAATCAACATCAAGCTTGTTCCTTTTGGTCGGCTGCAGCAGCATTACCTGATTATCAACTTCAAAAGCGCGCTTCTTCACCGATTTCTCGTAGTGCTCCTTCGACAGCACTTGTACCGCGTTTTTGTGACTTTCCACTAGCGCTTCAATCGAGAGATCCTCACGCTGCTCTCGAATGAGCGTCTCTCGATCAACTCTCGGCAGCTAGCTCCAACTTTCCGCTACAGGCGAGAGCGTTGCAACCCTCTCGCTCTGACTCAATGGCGCCATGTCTCCCCCTACGCATACCTCGCCGGCCGCTTCCGCGACGGGCCGCTCGCGTGACCGCTCACATGACTCATGCGGAAAATTTCCTTTCTGGGGTTCCGTCGACCCGCCGACAAGGTCACTTGAGAGTTCACTGCATTGAACCAGATCAAGCTGCCGCGATAGCTTCCGCGCTTGCGATCGCGTGAGGGCCATGCACGCTAAGTTGGGGAAGAACGATTTGCCCAGCTCTTTGAGAAGCTGCTCTGAGTTGTTGGAGAAAAGATAAGGAAAACGATCATTTAGCGCGGCAGACACAGCCGCTTCGGTGCGAAGCTTACCGAACGGGCCTTCAATGACAACCGTGGCGATTGGTAAACGAACACACTGCTCCTCGGCGACTTGCCTGATCCACGCGCATTCTCCTGTAAAGTCATCCGGAGACACCAATGAAGGATGGACAACGTCCATGGTTGCCGCTGGGTCTCTAAGTGCTCGGCACGTTTTCTCATTCACCCTAATTTCTTGGAGATACGGCTCCAACAACCGCATGTTTTTTTCTGATTCTCGGATTGTTGCGAAGGCAAACTTTTCCTGACAGTTTCTGGCGATGTGTCCTTCCTTTTTGCAGTTGTAGCAGATTAGCGGCTTCCGTGATTCAAATGCCTGTGTGGTATCAGTGCGTTGTTTGGGAACCTCACTCGCTTTCTCCGCTTCTGTTTGCCCTTCCCCTACACTGTCCTTCGTAAGAGACGGGTCCTTCTTGAAATTACGGTGCGGAGCGGGTCTCCGTTGATCAGGTTTCTTTGAAAAGCCCTCTTTTCTCTCATCCTTTTCAACGCGCACTTCCCTGCTGTGCAACTTTCGGCGAGTATAATACTCCTCAGCTAACTCTGCTGCCTTGTTTAGCTGTACTTCACCAAGTCTGTCCTGCAGCCAAAGCCTGACATTATCCTCGATGCAGCGGTAGAATTGCTCCAATGCAACGCATTCCACCACCCTATCGCGGTCGTCATAAACACCTTCGCCCTTGAGCCATTCAATTAAATCGGCCTTAAGACGAAACGCAAAGTCAACGTGTGACTCATTCCCCTTTTCAGCATACCGGAACCTTTGCCTGAAAGCCTCGGGTGACAACTTATAATGTCTCAAGAGCACTTCCTTAACCTCGTCATAGCTCTCAAACGCTTCCCTCGACAAGCAAGTTATTGCGTCGGACACTTCGCCGGGAAGAAGAGCTAACAGGTTCCGCGCCCATAGAGACCGCTCCAAAGCGTTTCGCTCACAGACGTGTTCAAACTTGACGAGATACTTCGCCATGTCCTCGCCTACTACGAACGGTGGCAGTTGGTCCCGAATTCTAAAACCGCTGACCTGAATCGTCGGAGCAGCTACGCTAGGCGCCTGCGAACACTGTAGGATTGCCAATTCTATTCGTTTCAACTCTAGGCGCTCCTGTCTCTCGGCCTCCTCGCGACGTTCGCGCCTTTCAGCTTCTTTACGTTCGCGAGCTTCGCGCCTTTCAGCCTTCTCGCGGCGTGCTTTGATATCCACCCAGGCCTCATCAACTTCCTCAGCCGACACTCCCTCATGCTTCATGATCTCAAGGATCGTTTGCTTTCGTTTCGCACGGCCCAAAGTAATGCCGAGTTCCTCAGAAATTTCGATGAGTTCCTTCACTTTAAGGTTCTCCATCGTTCACACGAGCCTCTTGCTGTTTGCCCCTGTTAAGAATCTACTTGCCGTACCCACTATAAGCCTACTAGCAAGACGCGCAAGCAATTTTTCACACTCCCGTGTTTACCCCCTCTGCATTAACTTTGGTTTCAAAGCGCTTCGACTTGGCTTGAAACGATCAAAGCTCACTTCAATGCTTCACACAGCCCTTCTCTAAACTACTATAACCTGAGCTAGAGTAGTCTGGTGAACTGAGGGGAAAACATCAGGCACTCACTGCATCGATGTCGCTGACGCCGGCCGATCCCACCGCTGCCACCGCTGTTGCGAAAGACGGCGACGCCAACACGGTCCCGAAGGCGCCACTGCTTCCAACTCCGCCGGGAAGGTCACCAGCCGTTTGGTAGCGTATGTTTATCAGCTCGCGACTGCTTCTGCGCAGAGCTGATAAGACGAGCGGACGAGACGACGGTGAGTTAAACAAGGTTTATGTACAGCATATATACAGAGGCATTACAGATTCGGCACTGGGGCCGACAGAGACTCGAAGAGCCGAGCTCTCCTCTCTAACACATAGGTCTGCTCTCAAACGGGTTCGCTCTGACACACATGTCAGCTTTCACCTAGGACCGCCGATCACGACGCGCCGCAGGGCTTCTTTTATTTGCACCGGGTCAAACCAAAATGTCCAATCAGAAGCGCCGCTGGTCGTCAGGGCAGACTCCTCCAATGGGGTCGCCGCGCAATGCGTCAGCCCCCAGACATGAAGACGCCAGTTGTTTACTCGATGGGTCGCTTGCCGAGGCTGACTCACTGCACGTGCACGCCAGAGAGGCGCCGACAGAAAGACGCCGTGGCGTGCTGACGCCGTTGAGTTGTTGATCGCGTCAGGCGGGCTGCGGGCTGGCCTTGACACAGATTGCCTTTTTGAGAGGCACGGCCGTTCGCTGTGGACTCGCAGGCATAACACACCTCGTCGCTCTAAAGGATCGCCAAAATCCCCCCCCCTTGTTGGAGGAAAAGGCGTGGTCTGCTTTAGTTGTCGTGAGCGTGGTCACACCGCGCGAGAGTGCAACGCGCCCCAACCGATACAAGGCCCGTCGGGAAACGGTGTGAGCCGTCGGTGAGCTCCCCCTTGCCGGCGGCTTCAGCAGTAAGAGAGCACGGGGGTGTAACACAACCTCTGGCACCGATGGCGTGTCGCGCTGGACATGACATTTCAGCTACGCCGGTGCCGTTCATCACCCTTACAATCGGTGGTCGATAGTTTGCGGCGTTGCTGGATAGCGGGGCTTTGATCTCGCTGTTCGGCGAAGAGGTTAGGGCTCATTTACGCAACCGCTCTGTCCGCATTCGAGCTTGCGACACTGCCTTCCACCTCGCCAGCAGTACCACCACCTCGTGCGGCGCTGCGAGGTTGGTTGTGCATTGGGAGAATTGCGCACGCCGACAGCGCTTTGCGCATCTCCCTGGTCTTTCCGTGCCTGTGATTCTCGGTCGCGACTTCCTCGCGCGCACAGGTATCGTGATTGACGTCGCAAGCGGAGGCTACAGGGACGGCCCTTCAGGCGCCCTACGGCCTTTCGCTGCACCTCCCGTGGTCTCGGCTGCCAGTAAGTAACCGGACGCCACGAGGAGGAAGGAGGAAAGGAGACCAAGCGTTGCCTCCTCGGCCCGTGTCTCCCCCTCCGACGCCAAGACTGGTCATTCGGCCGGCGCGGCGGAAAACGGTCCGTGCGTACAGCTTTCCCTCGATTATAATGCTGCCACGGTGAACCAGGTCTCGGCTATGCCGGTGACCCCCCCCCCCCCCGCTAAGCAGCAACTCAAATGGCTCGCTGCCGCCTTTGCCGGACAGCTTGTCGAAACGCGAGAAAGCACGCCTGTCGTCGCTGTTGACACGTTTCAGCAACACGTTCACTGAACACCCGGGTTGCACCTCTCTGGTGAGGCACCGGATTGACACAGGCGATGCAAAACCGTGGAAATGCAATCCTCACCCTATAAGTGCGGCAAAAAGAAAACCAATTGACCAGGCACTGGATGAGTTGATTGAGACCGGAGTGGTCCAACACTCAAACAGTCCTTGGGGTTCACCGGTGGTAATAGTCCCCAAAAGAGACGGCTCTCATCGGCTCTGTGTGGACTACCGCCGGCTGAACGAGGTCACGGGGAAAGATGCTTATCCTATGCCTAACGTGGACTTCATCGCGGCTGCTCTAGGTGGTGCTTGCTACATCACCACCTTGGATGCTAGCCGCGGTTACCTACAGGTTTAGGTAGAGCAAGCGGACGCGGAGAAAACTGCGTTCACCTCTCACAGAGGTTTGTATGCCGTTTGCCTGTTCTGGTGCTGCAGCTACGTTCCAGAGATTGATAGACCGCGTTCTAGTGGACGCTAAATGGCAACACGCCATGGCATACCTCGACGACATCGTCATCTTCTCTCGAACGTTCGAGGAACGCCTTCACCACTTGGAGGATGTCCTCGGGAGGTTGCGTGCCGCCGGGCGCCGGGTTGACTTTGAACCCGAAGAAAGCTCAAATAACTGAGACTCGCAACTCAATATTAGGCTTTACCATGCAGAGCGGTCGTGTTCTGCCGTGCGAGGAGAAGGTACGTGCCATTGTGGAGTACCCGACGCCGGCAAACATTCAGGGCCTGAGGCGCTTTTTGGGCATGGTGAACTACTATCGACAGTTCATCCCAAACTGTGCAGCCCTCCAAGTGCCCTTGACTGCACTCTTCAAAAAGTCGGCACGATGGAGCTGGGGGCCAGAAAAAAAGCGAGCCTTGAAGGCGCTTTTCGAAGCTCTAGTGGCCACAGCCGAGGTAAAGCTGCCCGACCTGAACAGAGAGTTCGTTGTCCAAGCGGACGCGAGCGACCTGTGTCTCGGCGCGGTACTCCTTCAACAGCACGACGGCGTCCTCCGGCCAGTCGCCTTTGCGAGCCGGTCACTTAACGCCGCCGAGCGTAACTATAGCGTCACAGAAAGGGAATGTCTCGCTATAGTTTATGCACTCCGGAAGTTCGACTGCTATGTCGACGGCGTGCCATTCGTGGTGAAAATGGACATGGCACTCACCTGGCTTAAGCGCTTGCGCGAGCCCTCGGGCCGCCTCGCGCGCTGGGCGTTGACCTTGCAGCGGTACAACTTTGTTGTGCGCTACCGGAATGGGAGTTCGAACGTCGTCGCTGACACTTTGTCGTGTGCCCCCGTTTTGGCGTCCGCCACTCCCGAGAGCAATCGCATCAAGTAGACCCCGGGCCCTCTGGCTCCAAAGGGTAGAAAGGCGCGAAGTCCGATGGCGAAGTGACTTTCGAGTCGACAGCTTCGGGTGAGGACGCATACCTGGTAGACCCTGTCACGTCCACCGGTATTGTCTTTAGCAGAGAAGAGCTGCTCAAGGCAAAGCAGGACGATCGGTTTTGTCAACACATCGTTGACGAGCTCAAAGAGCTGAGCTCCCAAGTGGAGCGTGGCGGTCAAGCCGCCGGGCGCGAACAGATAGCTGGTATTGCTGTCGTTGCCGATCACTGACAGGGTGCCGTACTGATTGCCGAGTGCCGTACGCAGGCTGGTATTGTTGCGGGCATGTTGGACTCGTACCTAGTTGATGCCTATGGCGTTCTCCTGCACTACGTCCTATCTGAACAAGCTCCCCAGGAGTCTTTCAAGGTGGTGATACCCCGCAGTCTAAGGAAAGCCACCTTAGGTTATTTCCACGACTTGCGGTTGGCCGGACCGCGAGTGGCCTTAACACTTTTCAAATGTTGTGCCGCTGCGCTACCTGGCCTGGCATGAAGCGCGACGCCCTTCACTACACCCGCTCAAGCCGCGTGTGCCAATGCGTAAAGCCTCGCGGGGGCAAGACTCCCGGGCTCATGCAGACGATCGACAGCCAACAATCTTGGCAGGTCGCGGGCTGTGACATTGTGGGACCTTTCCTAAGAAGTCGGAGAGGCCATGTTCTTCCCCTGGCTGTCACAGATCACTTCACGAAGTGGGTCGAACTGTTTCCCCTTCGGAAGGTAATGGCACGCGTAATCTGGGACAAGTTGACCGAGGTCTTTACCCGCTTCGGCTTTCCGGCGGATTTGATCACAGACAATGTGTCCTATTTCACGGCCAACGTGTTCGTGGATGCGTATGCTGCCTTCGGCATTAAGCACCATAAAACAACCTCGTATCGCCCACAGGCCAACTCGACCGAGCGGATCAACCGGAACCTCAAGCCCTTGCTGGCAGCCTTTGTGCAGCAACACAGGGATTGGGATGCCTGTCTGAACGAGATAGGCTTCTCCTTGCGGTCTACGGTCAATCGCTTGATAGGGTACACGCCTGCTTTTCTCAACTTTGGGAAAGAGCTGCCTAACCCCATGGACCGCGTCCTATGGGGCGGAGGCGGGGCAAGCGCCGCGAAGGGCAGCCCGTCTGGCTACGCGGCGCAACTGCACTCACGGATGGACGCGGCCCTCGACCTGGCGCGTTCCAACCTGGCAAAAGCGCGAGCTGGTCAGAAGGCTCAATACGATCGGTCGCATCGGGATGTCCGTTCCGATGTCGGTGATCTCGTCTTCAGGCGCAATCACGTCTTGAGTGATGCCGCCAAAGGCATCTCGGCCTCCCTTTCGGTCAAGTGGTTGGGCCCATACCGAGTGCACACCAAAGTGTCGCCCCTGGTATACAAGCTGGCTGCATCCCAAGGGAGACCAGTTGGTGGTCCAGTTAATGTCTCCGACCTCAAGAATTTTGTTACCCGCAGCAAGGACTTCGGGAAGAGGGAGGCGGTCACCGAACCGCAGGGAAACCGGGATAAGGCTGGTTCTAAACCACGCCACTGGTGCAAGCTGCGAAAACGCACCTAGGCTGATTTTCGCCCCCGGCATGTAGCGGGACGTCATCCCCTCAATGTAAGGGAGCGGAGGTTATAGCTGCTGTGCGATTGCCCATCGAGCAGCAACAGTAACGGCTACCTGGCGAGCTTTCTCCCTGGTTATACCATTACGCGCGCTGCGCACGGAATATCCACTCAGTTCCCGGCCCTCCGGCTGCTCGAGAGAGAAAAGCCCTTTCCCCGGTGGCTCACTTTCTCACTGGGCATTTTCAGCGCAGTCGGCGGGAGAAGGGAAGCGTGTGCCGTATTGGCTGACGCAACGTGCAATCCGACGGAGTTGGCTTTCTTTATTGGGCCAGCCTGTCGCGCCTCCGGGGCCGCACCTTCAGTTGCTTTTCGGCTTTTCACTGACGCCCCAGCTTTCGTTATGTCCTCCTCGGTGACCCGCTCTTCCAAGAAAAAGCCCGGGAGACGAGCCGTGTGCTCGGTCGTACCGCAGGCACCGGCCGCGTCCATGCCGCCTCCGTCAAATGCTCCCCCGGTCCCACCTAACAAGACACCGCCTCGTCGTGAAGTCGCTACGTGGACGTTACAACATGGCACTGAGGCCCCAGTCGCCTTCGTGTCAACTCGTCGCTGGTCCAAGCAACGTAAAGCCTGGGTAGGGTTAGACCCCGAGTTCGTCCCACGTCCTTTCCGTGGGTGCACCGACCTGCTTGACGCTTCCGGAGGTGCCTCGATGCCGCCTGTTCCCGAGGCCTCCTACTGCGACGCTTGCGGTGTCCTGCTGGTACACGAGGCTACCCACCTCCGTTCGCGGTTTCACCGAACGAACTCCGGCGGTGCCCATGAGGTCCTGTCCACTCCGGCGGTGCCGCCTGGCCCGGGCCTTCAACCTGCCCTGTCGACCGACTCCGTTCAGGCGGTCGTGGCGGCGCTCGTCATGGGCTCATCATTCAAGTCGGCCATCGCTGCTGCGGTGTCTGCCGCCCTCCCACGGCCTCTGGTTCCTGCTGAGACGCCGCCGAACAAAGACACCGGGGCCCCCGTCGACCTCGTGGACGGAACTGAGCTGGACCTCAGTTGTTTCGAATAAAGGTGTCGGTAGATGCTTTTATTACGGCGTCTTTATGGCGCCCTCGGTCTTAGGAGGGGGGGATGTGGGAATCGAGAGCACCCTCCTACCTGGCGCCTCGTTCCCAGCTGCCACACGCGCGCCGACAGCGTAGCCCGGGCGCGCATAAGCACCGGCATCCGCCAAGATGGCTGCCAGGGCGTCTCTTGATCAGGGCCAGCCAACCGTCGGCTGCTTCCCGCGGTGGCGTGTGCGGGCACGCTACGCTGGTGCGCTGCTCGGGCCTACGTCACAACGCAGCGCCATTTCCCATTGGGCGCGCGTGACATCCTCCTCTCCTACGAGCTGTGTGGCGCCCGACGATGCGCTCTTCGCGGCAGATGCTCTCAGGCCTCCACAAGAGGTTGAAGCGCTGCTTAGCAGGCGCAGGCGGCTTCTCGTTCGAGCGTTCGACTTCGGCCCTTGCGCGGGAGTCGTAGCGCCCTAGAAAAGCGTACTTGCTCGGTCTTGCGGAGTTCCCTATATACGGCCTGCAAGCTCGTGAGTGTCGCACTGTGCTGCATCTTGGGTTAATAAACCCGTTGTTGTTGTTATCCTGCCTCGTGCGTGGTTTCTGCGCCGTGCTGGAGAAATCGACGAACCCGGCCGCAGCGTCGTCGCACGCAGAGGCAGTGGAGGACGTCGCATCCCTACACGGTTGCGCTTTGGAGGTAAGCCTAGTGCAAACCTATCTCCACAACTTTTAACGCGATAGCGTTAAAGAGCTCGTTTCGTAAAAACTCCAGCGTTGGCTTCGGTGTCGGTGTCATTAGTTGTGAGCGATTTTTATGTGGTGTTAAGCGTCCTGAAACCATCTTATGATTATGAGAGATGCCGTAGTGGCATCTTGACCACCTGGAGTTCTTTAACGTTCACCCAAATATGAGCACACGGGCCTACAGTATTTTCATCTCCAAAGAACATGCAGACGCCGCAGCCATGGTACGATCTCGCAACAAGTTGGTTGTTTGCGAAAAATCATCTTATGTTTGACCGAAAACTCAAGAACAATGCAGATAAAATAACTGATAAAAAGTCATGGGACAGAGTGAGGACCAAACCAGGGTTTTTTGCGTCCGAGTGGAGATCGAACTTGGGTCGTTTGAGTGGCAGATGGATGTTCTACCCCACGTCTGTGGGTCTGCTTGGAAATGAACTGAAAAGAACTTCCTCTACTTGCAAATGCAATGAAAGTAGCTTCCATGCTTTGCAAACACGCGCGTTCTGTATACACGCATAGGCGTACCTTCCGGGGAGGCAAGGGGGGCACTGCGACCCCACCCCCACTAAAAAAAGCAGGGGGGGAGTCTGGGCCCTCCCTCTTTCGGCAATGGGCAATGTCGGCTGCCCATTGAGATACAGACTGAGGCAAAATTTTCATTCAGCGATGCAGTTACGTAATCATGTGTAAGAAGATTTCCTAACGTCTATTTCCTATACTTCTGCCTAGAAGGTTGTCTTTTTTCTTGTATCTCGCGACCATGAAATGTAGTCTTTCTGCGTTGCAGGCCGCTTACGCAACGCTTTCGCGCCTTGCGCTCGAACACTGCAGAAGAAGCTACTACTCAGCAGGGGCTCTAGAACGTTAGGCCTATCTGTCATGCCTTTATTGCGGTTTGCGTGACATGAAAGTCACATCGCAATTGATGTAGGTTCAGGCAAAAACTAAATAGATAATGCCGTATGGACCAATAACGTGCTCTTCCCGCATAAAAGAATCATATTTCTTAGCAAACGAATTGAATCGCTCCTGCTCTATATCCCAGCTGCCGTGAGTTGACGAGACCTTATGCAAAATTGCTGCCATCTGTCTGCCGTCGTGTGCCTACCACCATGTTATAGACTCAGCACGGCACATTACGCACAGTCCGCGTGTGTGTATGTATACATGTACGTAAGTCGTATTTCTAAGGGCATATTACCAAGAGCATTGGCCAAGGGCACGATATCGGAACCGACTTTGCGAATCTTTGGAGACAAGGAGATCGAGTCACACAAACTCGTTTGGTTCCCACCTCACATGGAAAGCACTGAGCAAGAACCGCCCTATCTCGACGCGTCATGCCCACATAACTGCGTCAGGACTAGTAAACTACATAGCGATCGGGGGCCGCGGCGCTGATTCATGGTATGGAGAACCGGGATCCGCTCATGCTCGTATAACAAACTGACAAATATTTTTACCTGGCACGGTGACAATACCCACAACCACAAAGAAAACAAAGCAATCCTCAAGCTCTTACACTCAGGCTTGTTAGGGTTGGGGCGTACCCTGACTCCGCGCTACTGCACAATATTTATCCCAAAA